AAAAGATGCAGAGAAGCCATAAAGTATCAATGACCCTGAAGCTGAAACTCTCTAGCGACCATGCTTGCCACCAAGGGAGAAAATTGGGATAAGACCCAAGCAAACATCCAGTAATACAAATAAATGTTAAAGATGTGTAAATACAAGATTTTTCTGGAAGTTACTTCTAGTATGTGATTCTGAACATGCCTTGGATAACTCATTTCATAGTCCAGTAAGCCCTCTGTGAAACCTACTTTGAAGTTTAATAACAAAAAATTATATGAAATTATAACGGAAAATTGTCTCAACCATCCATAAAAATGATATTCATGCCCCATGAAAAAAATATGTACATTTGACGATAAAATCACCTACCTTCAACGGTACTGGGTAATGTGTAAGGTAAAGATCAACATAGTGCGGTTGAACTCTTTTCAGTGATTATTCCAAACTAGGCTGGATGAGTTCTGGTTGAAAGCAAGTGCATCAAAGTTGCAGAAGTTGAGGATTAGAAGTTATGATTAATCATGAATGTTTGTTTATCCTAATACTGAACTATTTTTTGTGAATGAAGGAAAATTATAATCATTCTCGTTAATCCAGAATTTACTTAACTCATACTTCACAATGTGAACTTGGTTATATATTCTTTGTAATTGATAGCTCATTGAACAATGAAAGACAATTACTCAAGGAATAAAACACATACCACTAACAACATTCAAAAACTGAATTATTTTTCATAGAGAAAGTAATTTACTTTCTCTCACCCATTTATAGAACCGACACCTTTAACCAAGTTCTGGTCAAGTAATATAATTTTTACTTCCTTATATTTTAATAATTTGCACACTTGCATGCTATAAAAACTCTACCTTTGTAGTGATGAACAAGTCTTCTCTCTTTACAATGCCAGCTTTAATCCTGCCCTACCTCCTCTTCCAAGTGATATGCAAAAGCAGTATCAATATGGCAGTACCCAACATCTATAGCTAGGTTGGCAGGCTCCAGTGACGTGCTATTGGGAATCTAGAGGAACAACCAAAAGAGGCATTTAGAGATGCACATTCTGAAAGCTAACTGAGAGTGAGCCTAGCTGGAAGTTTACTAGATCAGAAAGAGTTAGGTCTTTCAAAGTCACCCTCAGACCACTAGGCAAGAGCCTAGTCTCCTGATTCTTGAATTTCCACTTTTTATTCTATAAAACATCAGGAATTCTACAGAAATATTGTAGATGTCACAAAAAACTAAGACTCTCCACAGACTCATTGTTTGCTTATATTTGTCCCACATTTGAGACAATGAGCCAAAATCTACTTTTTTGGGGTCTTTCCTGATTAGTAGTGTTAAGTTGGGGGCATAGCCTCTAGGCCTTTGCATCCATTCCAGCCCCTAGGTTTGGGAGCTGTATTGGTCTTGACTCCAAATACCAGCGTGCCAGGTCCTGATGCCCCCCGTGGGTGGAGGGAAGGGGGAGATCAGGACCACTCCCACAGAGTATTTAAGTGAACTCCCAGAGGAGAAGCATGTGGTCTCTCTCCTCTCCCCAAGGTGGTTACATTAGGGGACTCCTGGTTCCTACTCAGGGCCACCTGTGAGCACAGAAATCCCATTAAACCTGGATATTTTTTTTAAATTTGGCTTGTTGTAATTTGGCTTGATTGGGATTTTTGCATCAGCAAAGATCTCGTGTTAGGAAAAATTCCTAACAGATAACAAGACTTTCACATCCAAAAAAACCTATTTGTACCCATGCAATCCTGGTTACGTACTGGCATTGATAAATGCCAAGCTCACATTGGGTTCAAATGTTTGCTTGGAAGTCACACTCAACTTACATAGTGGGGTTACTAAGCAAAATAAACAAAATTACATAGACATTCTTCTTTGACCCCAGCTAGGACACAAAAGCCTGTGACAGCAAAGATCTCAGATACCACACAACACCAAGTTAGTAATAGGGATTTGAACAGAGAACAGTATCTTATGTTAGTCTTTGTGTATATCCATATTCTTTGTCTGAGAGAACTAAATGCAGGCAGAGAAAAACCCTACCCTAGGAATATATCCTCCTTAAATGGTGAACATCATACTCGATATTATTCATTTGGAGAATCAGCCCTTTTAACCAAAGATCACTTGCTTAACAAAGTATATGATTGAAATTAAATCTAAAAGTACTGCCTTTACTGTGAGATTTGGATAAAGATATGACAGTTCCTTTATTAAAGAATTTAAGGTGTACGCTGGGAAGATGTCTCAATCAATAAAGTGTTTGTTAATAAGTCTCAGGATCTTAGTTCAGACCTCCAGTTCTCACGTAAAAGGAGAGTATGGCATGGTGGCACACACGTGTAAACCCAGTGCTGAGGGAAACAAAGTCATGGGGATCTGTGGAGCTCACTGGACTGCAAGTTAAGCTGAATCACTGAGTTCCAGATACAGTGGGACACCCTAACTCACAAAAATAGAGTGAAAGCAGTTTAGTCAGACTGTGTGGCGTGTTGCTTGACCAGCAAGCAAGAACGACCACGAAATCGAGGATTCTTCCCAAATCACACTTTATTGGAGCCTCTCGGTTGAAGGGAAAGCGGGGAATGAGAGGGAGAGAGAGAGAGACAGAGAGAGAGAGCGAGAGAGAGAGAGAGAGAGAGAGAGAGAGAGAGAGAGAGAGAGAGAGCGAGCTCAGGGAGCGAGAGAGAGGGGAAAAACCAAGCGACAGCTGCTTTTCTAGGGTGGAGGGGCTCGGATACTGTCCTGATTGGTGAATACCATTCTGCTGGTGCTCGGGGCCTCGGGATTGGCCCGGACAAAGGCTCAGTTGTGCAAATGCAGGCAGGGGTGCTCAGCCCCACGCGGCAACTTCAAAAGGATTTGTTTACCTCCAAGCTGCAGGACCGCCAGCCCATTTCCTAATGGCATTGTCCTGCCGGCTCCTTACAAGACTGGCATAAATACAGATGATCACAAAAACATTGTAGGCCCATATTTCTACATGGTGTGACAACCAAGTTTTCCGGCCATGGTTGGTATTCTGAGCAATCTCTTACCCTGCCAAACAGGCTGTAGCTAGCCTAACAAAAGTTCAGGATATGTTGCTCCTTTTCTTTTGTAATTATGTCGATCTCCTGAGAAGAGCTGTGAATTCTAAGCTAGTGACTGAGCTGTGGAAGTGACTGTAGTCCTGCTACTCCCAGAAACAGAATGTTAATGAGCTTCCACCTGAGTTTACCTTGGGGGATAAAAGGTGTTTGGATAATAAACAAGGGTGATCTTCAGGATTTGAATGAAACCTGAGACTCCCTTCCAATATTGCTGTGTGAACTGTGTCTCAATTATTCCTGCGCCTCCACACAAGTCCAGAGAAAGGAAAGCAGTTTATGTTGGGGCATCTGACCCTAACATAGTGGTACAACTAGCAAGACACAAAATAAGGGTAGTGACAGAAAATAATAATGTAGGTTGCCAAGGCCCAGGAAGGTTGAAGGGCTAGTTAAAGTCTGGGCAGTAGGGCATTCATCAGAAACGTCTGATTAACTGTTCCAGGTGAAGGGACAGGGAACATTCACATCCCATAAACTGGTTCATGTTAGTTTTCAGCAAGTCCAGAGCCCAGCAGTTTGTAAATTGCAGGTCCCTGGATGGTGACTGTCAATCAAGTAGAAATGAGGTGAGATAGAGACTGGACAGAAATTTCTTTAGTTCTGTATTTAGATGAGAAACACCTGTAGGTCTATATTTAGAGGGTAACCAAATGATGTAGGTGGGTCTTCTTTCTATGTGCTGCTTTCATTGGTTAATTAATAAAGAAGCTGCTTGACCTGATAGGTCAGAACATAGGGAGGCGGAGTAGACAGACAGAATGCTGGGAAGAAGGGAAGTGAGGCAGACGCCATGGATCCAATCACCAGGTCAGACATGCTGAATCTTTCCCGGTAAGCCACAACCTTGTGGTGACATACAGATTATTAGAAATGGGTTGAATAAATATGTAAGAGTTAGTCAATAAGAGGTTAGATATAATGGGCCAGGCAGTGTTTAAATGAATACAGTTTCCATGTAATTATTTCAGGGGTAAACTAGCCAGGATCTGGGCGAGAATGCAGCCCACTGCTCCTTCTACAACCAAAGGAAACTTAAAATCGTGAGCTTGCGACAAAACAGTAAGTAGTCTGTATTTCAAGAGCTAAATTAATAGTTTTTCAGAATTCCATTGACTAATGTTAAAACTCTGAAAATTTGAAATCTTAGTGTAATAATAGCATGGAAGGGGCAAGAAATCCAAAACATTTAAATCACAATTTTAGCTTTCACGTCGTCAGACCTTTATAACTTGCATTTATACATCTTCATAGATCTTAAAACATTTTCTCAGACCATCACAGCTTAAGGTTTAAACTTTACACCTTTTTAATATCTAGGCGTTTACCAGGAGACATGGCTGTTGACTACTGAGGGCAGTCACTGTTGAGTGAGTTCCTCTAAGAAAAGGGATAGTAAAAAGTTACATTGAAATCTGTTTTGTGAGTTTATCTCTTTTCTGAGTCTGGTAAAAGGTAAACTGTGTCTGGATATAGTAGAAGCTCTGGAAGAGTGAGGCCTGTGGCCTGAATTTTACACAGGAAGAGAACTGAGAAGGAAGATGAAGCTTTGGGGTAAGAAATGGATATTTGCTGTTATGAAAGCTTTTATTATCAAGATTGTATATTAATAAAACCTTTTATGAACTTAAGATGTTTTATAGCTTTAAAATACTAAATATTCTTAAAGGTTTCTTAATATATATTGAGTATTTTTTGCAAATTAAATGTTTTATAAAATTTAAATTTTTTACCAATAAAAGTTTATTTTCTTTATTCATGCTAGAGACCTTTCTCCATATTCTAGCTTTCCCTTGGCAGAGTTCTCTCTGTCATTGGATACAGCCAGATTTTACTTTTTTGAGATGATTTTAATGTTTCTTGCAGGTTGGATCAAACTACAGCAGGCTAAGTTGTTGGAATCAAGCAAAGGTTTTAACCTTTAAATTCTTCAGTTTACACTTAAATTTTATTTGTTAATATGTATTTTGCTTTACAATTTTTATTTCATTAGTTTCTGTTTTGAAATTATTTTATCTTTAAGTATGTGGGGGATTGGGTGGGAGCATATGTGTCCATGAAGGCACTCTGACCTGTAGAGGTCAGTAGAGGACAGAGACATTGGATTCTCTGGAAACTAGAGTTACAGGTTGTGAGCGCCCTCCTGTGGGCCCTGGGAACTGAACATCAGTCTTCTGCAAGAGCAGTACTCACTCTTAACCACTGGGCCATCTCTCTGGTATTTGCAATTTCTTTTCCCACTTACTTGTTGACCATCAGCAAATAACTGCTCAAATTAAACTATTGTGGAATACGATCCTATCTAAAATCGAAATCAAAACAAACACATAAAATTTTAGATGTAAACATTTTTGCACCAAGTAAAATATTATGCTCTGGACAACACCTTTTAAGTTCTGTCTGTCTCCTTAAGAAGAGAAACAGCAGCATTTAGTTGCTGGGTTGTCTTCGTCTTGTGGTCAGTCTTTTATCTTAACAGCTGCTTCTGAAGTCAGCATTATTCAGCAGGAGATTTTCAAACTTTGTTGTGCTGTTTACCTTGACTGTGCTATCAAACAAAAACCCCAAATTTAGACTCAAGTGTGGGTAATAATCATAAATGAAAATAATGGTCATTCTGTGGAAATAATTAAAATAAAAATTGAAGATAAAACCTACAAAGTTTATGGTCCTTCAAAAATGAGGTTTGCTTTTTTTGCTTTTTAAAAAAAGATTTATATATTTATTATGTATACAGTATTCTGCCTGTATGTCTGCCTGAAGGCCAGAAGAGGGCACAAGACCTCTCCTTATGGATGATTTTGAGCCACCATTTGATAGCTCGGTATTGGACTCAGAACCAGTGCTCTTAACAACTGATCCATCTCTCCAGCCCTGGGCACAACAATAACTTACATGAGGTAAAATCAAACTTTAATAGTATAGATTATGTAATATATAATATCTGTGATTTATTTCTGGACTTGTTTTTAGGACAAGACAGGAAATATCATACAAAAATCTATCTTCATATACATATCTTGGAGACCTGTTGTTTTCTTCTTTGTAGGCTCTCCTCATGTGGTGATCCCTTTTAATTATATGGTGATGAAGTCATATGATATCCATCTTGTCCAACCCTAGCAAAGATGGTGACCAGTCACAAGGTTACCTAGAGATGGCAGCAAGCCACATGCCAGAGTGGGATCATGGCATGTTGTCTCTTTAAGATTACTTATGTATAGATTTTTAACTACCAACCATGTGTTACTAGTTTTAAGCTAAACTTTTTGAAAAATAGTTTTACCAGATTTTTAACCAAATCCAATAAAATAAACTTAAAATCTTGAGGTGTAGAATATTTATACAAGACAAGTTTAGTTTTTTGGCTGTTGTACTTTGCTTTCTGTGCCAGGAGAATTAACCTGACACAGGGCATAGGGGGGGGGGATCTTTTAAACATGGTTGAATCTAGAGAATGGGAGACCTAGACCCAAATTCTAGAAAACAGTTTTTTTTTTTTTAATAAAACAGAACACCAAAAAACATCTAAATTTTTGCTGAGCATACCAGAATGTAAAAACAGACAAGCTTTCTAATGATATATCTGTAATGGTCTGTCCTGCCCCACCCACTCCCCCACCTTCTGCCAGGGCAAATGGATCTTCCTTCAGCTTCCAACCTGTGTGCTTTCCTTCTGTCCCCTCGGCCCTGTCTCTCTTTGGAAGAGGTAGCTACGGCCTCCTCTCCTCTCCCCTCGCCTCTCTCTCCCTGTCTCTCTTCCCTTTCCTTCCCTTTTACTAAATAAATTATATCCAAACTCTCTCTGCATGGCATGCCTGTCTGTCTCTGTCTCTCACCTACTCCTTGTGGGACTGGCTGCCCAGCTGACCCACCAAGATCTCTCATCTGCTGCCTCTGACCCACCTGGGACCCACAGAGGCCTTGAGTGGTGGTACTGGCTGCCCCTTGTGGCCTGCCACTGTCTCTAATCCACCACTGTCATAAACCACCCACAGTGGCCCACTGCCACCCCTCAGGGGAACTGTAGCATTTTATCTAAACCATTACATTTGGTGTATCTCACCTGCCACTACCCCTCATGGGACCAGTCCCCCACCCTTTTATCCTTAAAAAAGAATAACATTGATATGTGACTCCACCAGGCTCTCTACACGTTTCCTCCCATCTGGGGGCAGACCAGCTGAGGACAGTGAAACCATGGGTTCAGGAACCAGGTTTCTGCCTGAGCCTGAGCATCAACCTCTACAGACCCCAGTGGCTTCGGTGGTGAGTTTTCCCCTTCCAGTCAGCTTAACCATTTCTCACACTCCCAGCAATCCTCTGGGGCTCCTAGAAATGAGGGAAATGGCCCCAACCACAGTCTTCTCTGCTACAGTTGAGCCCTTCACTGACATTCATCTCTGGTTGCTTCCCATACCTAAAATCATGATCGGACCACCCAGTGTAGTCATCCCGTGCTAACACTGTATTGTGCCCAGATTATGGCCCCCAGAGAGACCCCCAGAAAACAGAGACGTCCGGACTGCAACAGCAAGTTTTATTGCTATTTTTAGCGTAATGCTAGCTAGCATGGAACTCCTCTCCAGCACTCATCACAGCGAGGCAGGCAGGAGTTAGAGTTCTTCTGTGGGGTTAGCTTTTTAAAAACAAAAACTACAAGCTTTTCAGGGTGATCAGAGGTTTTGGCACAATTTTTATTTTTATTTCTTGAAGGTCTTTGCTTTTTCCCATCCTGATTTGTCACCTTGTTTTGTCTTTAGAGTCAGGTTACGCTGTCCCTGAGTTGGGGCATCTTGTGGTTTATCAGCAGACGGTCAAGCGTCCTGACTCTTGTGCTTTAGAATTTCCAAGAAGAGAGGGGGGCACTGTCAGCTCTGGGAACATGAAGCTAGTCTGGGTTTTGTGATTTTAAAACACTCTGCCAGGAAATTCCTTTGAGAAAAAGGGGTGAGGGTCTTACAACTGCACATGCTAAGTGGTGCTTTTGCTTTGGGACTGAAGTCCCTCAGATAATTTTTGTTTTGTTTTATTTTTTTATTTTATTTATTTATTTATTTATTTATTTTTGCTTTTTGTGTTGTTATTTTTCCCTTTCTCTTCTTTTTTTCTTTTGAATCACATGAAAAATGGTCCCCACTGTGAGAGACTATCCAGGATGGCCTTTAGCATTTGACTTCTGAGTCGCCTGGACCAGGGCTAGTTGGTCCCCACCTATAGAGAGAATACATTCTTCTTCAGGTCTTGCTGTGTTTGTTCGCTGTGTTCACGTTTTCATCTATGGAATATAAACCTTCAAATTATCAGCAACCCACCTTAAATGCTCTGCCAGTGTCCTGCCGACTCTGCTTTCCTTTCTCTGGGCAGCCCCTTCCCCACCCATCTGAAAATGCTCTTTTTCTCTCACTCCCATTCTTTCTATTCTATCCCTGCCACCATTAATGTTGATCCCATGGAAACTGACAAGATTAATCGGAACTGCGAGACAGCTGTTTTCAGTTCCAGCCTTGGTTCCCTGCCATGGCTTGTGGCCTGGCAGCATGGTGACAGGGTGTGTCATGCCTCTAGGTCTCTCTTATTATTGTATTTAAAACTCCCATGGCTCAAAAAATATGGTTTCTCCATACAACATGTGACTGCCACCATTTTGATTAAGGTCAGGTGACCTTACCACCATCTTAACTGAGGGCCAGGTCAGGTAACCAAGTCTTACCATCTTTACTGAGGTATTCTCTGCCTGGTCCCCCAGTGCTGATTCCATTACATATGTGTTTTGTGCAGTGGCATGCCTTTGGTAGGGTCTACCAACAGCATCCACTTCACCCAATTCCTGCTCACTCTGTGTGTGTGTGTGTGTGTGTGTGTGTGTGTGTGTGTGTGTGCATACATGTAACTTAAATGGACCTATGCTTACTGTTAAAAGTTATAATTGTTAGACTATCATATCTACTCTAAACTAACAAAGCAATGATTCTCATGTTTTAAATTGATCTAAGAGACACCAGACATTTCCATACTACAAACACTGGACAGAAGCAAAGAGACCAGCTACCCCAGGATGTGACCAGCACCCAAGTTTCTCAGGTTCTTTTCCCACAAGATGATACCCACAAATAAGCAGGAAGCAGTCTTGAGAATCCAACATCCAATTTTCTTTAACCTGTTGTGTGTAACTTCTCTCCTTTTTATTATTAGAAAGAAGTAGGTGAAATGACCTGGGTGTGAGTGAAAAGGAAACATGGAACATGCAACAAACTCACGTAGGAGTTTATTAGAGGGAGTGCATTCAAGCCTGGGAATTGATGTGCAGAGAGAAAGAAAGATGGTGTGTTCAGCTTTTAAAAGCTGCCTAGGGCATGCACACAAGGGGTTGGCATGACTATGTCATATGCAGATGACAAAGATGGCAGGCTCACACACGAGCACAAGGGTTTAGCTGAGTCATATGTGGATAGAACCATGCATGCACGTGTGTCACATCGGGCCCATTTCTGTGCCCAAGGGCCCATCTGCACGTGCTTGCCTTTAGAACCCAGAAGTGCAGCATTATTTGTGGCTGAAAAATTACAATGGGAATGTAATACTACTGACTTGTACTGTCCCTTTAAGAGATAAGCCCCACCAACTCCCCCTTCTGCTGAGGCAATCAGATCTTCCTTTTCTCTCTGTCCCATCTCTCTTCCGAAGAGGGAGCTGCAGCCTCCTCTCTTCTCCTCCCCCCCTTTTCTTTTTTTCTCTCTCCTTTTCCCCCTTCCCTTTTCTTCCACAACCCACTGAATAAACTATATCCACTTTTTTTTGCATGTTGTCTATCCATCTCTAGCCCACCACGGTCCTTGTGGTACCACCTACCCAGCTGACCTGTTGAGGTCTCTCACCCAGTGCCTCCCACCCACCTAGGACCCACAGTCACCTCTGGTGGTGGGACCGGCTGCCCTGCGGGGAACTGTGCCATTTTATCTAAACTATTACAATATCTTTCTTGAGAAGAAGACAAAAGTTTCCCACAGGAAAGACATGTTGTTATGAATCATATAGCTTTTAAATCACGATTGATAGTCAGTTTATAATCCCTGAGATAGGAGTTAACAGTATAATTTTAAGATGTAGAGAAAAGTAGGTCTTTTAGGCTTCCACAGACAGAATTGTAGCTCCTGGGAGAGGAGAGGGAGGCAACAGCAGTGGGAAAAGTATAGAACCTGAATTCAATCTGTAACTGAGTGTGAACAACTGAGATAACTCATTACCTACGGACCTATATGGCCTCCTTAGCCGCTAGATCCAGCAGGCACTGTTCCCAGTACATGCTACAGGGTCAGCAGCTCTAGACATTGCAGGGAGGGGCAAGTACCTCTCCACTCCTGACTACTGTGTTATAACAAACATAGGGAGAGGAGATTTATATAGTTTAGGAAGAGAAAGCAGAGAGAAATAGCAGGTTTTGGAGTGAAAGAAAAGAATCAAAAGCAGAGAATTCCTTTTCATTTTTTGATTGCCCAGACCCGTGCCTCAGCAGCAGTAACCAGTGACCATGTCTATTCTATAACTAAGGTCACAGCAGCTGCTATGTGGTCCCACCCCTTGTGCTGTTTGTTGGCAAAGACACAGTCTTTGCAGCACTTGCAGGGAGACAGGCTCTGCCCTTGCCCACGTGATAAGCAAAGGCTTTACCCTGCATGCGTCCAAGTGAGCACAACTGGGACAGGCTGGAGCTACAACCTTGTGAACATCATGCTTTAGCTGGGGAGAGACGGAATTCCCCATGAGAGAATCAAAAGTAAACCAGAGGGAGGACAAAAGAAACTTGCAGGTCCTCTGATGGATGGCCAGCAAAAATACCATTACTTGCTGGTGATGTCAGAATACCCACAAGCCCCGAGAATCTGTTCACATACCTGTGAACATAGGTCCCCAAGGTGGAGGGAGCAGAAGTTGGTAACAGGGCTCTGATGGCTGTGGATACAATGGCGATAACCTTCAGGAAAGTGATTTCAATGAGACAACTCAGCTTTCTTCTAAAGTATGTGAAATATAAAGGATTGGGGACAGTAACTGGAGAATCAGTGATTAAACAGCAGACTCCTATTATAGCTGGGTTAGTGGCAGCACCAACCTGTGAAAATAGCTAGAGCATGTTACTTAATTACCAATATGGTCAGCAGAGGAAGAACATTAAGGGTTGTGGAGGCCCAAAAATGTGAACCTATTCCACCTTGTCTGAAGGTCAGAGTTTTCAGCTAGCTCAAAGTTGTTAACAGCAACTGTGGCTATACACCCTGACCTAGGGTGTGCTTACTTGGTGTTTACCACATTTAGATGGTCGATGGAGGTAGATCCACTCCTCCCTGACCAAATGTCAGAGAATTCAAGAATATTTCTGCTCCTTTTGATTTAGGAGGTTTGACTGTGAGAGTGACTTCCTTTTGGATACACTGGAAACACTGTCTAAACAACAGAATACTTTTTTCATGAATTAATTTCTTAATGTCTTAAAGTACTGCAACAAATAACTGTTCTAGTTGTTCATGTTAAAGTAGTATGTTGCCTTCTTCTCCCATTTTGTATTAGGGCATAAAATGAATGGATATTTAAACACGGGCAAACTTAGTACCCAGAACTCAGTATACAGCAGAGACTGTAGTGGCCCTCAGAAACTATTCTATGTCTCTGTGATTCTTTCTGGTCTTTGTTCTCCCTACTTAGCATTTTCTAATCCTCATGCCCCTATTCTGCAATGTGTCACCTGCAGCAGCTAGGATTGTGGCAGAAATCACCACATAAAGGTGGCTCTGACAAAGGATCATCCTTGAGTTAAGTCAGGCAAGGAGTCTAGAGACGTCCTCCAAATAAGGGCAGGCAGAGAACTAGAATCCTCTCTGAATAGGGCATCCTTCCTGTTGCTGAGTTGAAAGAAAACTGAAAGACCTCCCAACAGCTCCCTGCTTCTACTGCCATCAGGGACTCTAATCCTCTTTAACTGTAAGCCTTTCTGTATGAAAATTTGGGTTTGTGCATCCTTCCTCAGTTCATTGTATTCAGGACACTGGGGTGCCTAGAACCTGCAGAACTATCATGCCAGGCCTTGTAATTTTTTTCTTCTTAATGAAAATAAATGTTTTTCATACAAAATATTCTGTTTTGATTTTTCTTCCCTCTATTCCTTCCAGTTCCTTTCCACATCTTTTTCTGCTAAGCTGGAAGACAGTGAGCTCTAGCAATTCTGTCTCTGCCGCTTTGGAGATTGATTTACAGGTATGATCACAGGACAC